CAAAACACAGCCTAGGGGCGGCTCCTGTTGGTAGCCTAATCCCCTCCTGCTAGAGGCAGCTCAGTTTTTTCGTGTAGTGTTAAGGTGTAAGGACATGAACTCCCTGCTGGGAATTTTAGTTTCCTTTCTTTTGCAAGGGAATCATCTTTTAATTTTTTTACTTCAGTCTTCAAGACCTTTAGTCAACCACTGAGCTGGGTGACAAGCTGGGGAATCTAGATCATTGTAGTCCCCTCAGCTCAGCCAATGAGCTCTACCAGATCCTTGCCTACATGCAGGTTCAGCTGTGACAGCCCTATCCTGGATTGGCAAGACCTGTACTTGTAATCACACTGGAAGAAGTACCATTAAAGGTCAAGTTCAACTCCAGTCCACATACATTGTTTTCAAGCTCAAACCCTAATGAAAGGGGTTTTGGACCTCCAAAAGGCATTTATTACTCTTTCAGTTTTCCCCCTAACTTTTATTGGAATAAAGTTGTACATGGACCTTTTAGCAGTGGTGTAACACTTCAATTTACATTTTTGTTATATTATACCACAAGCCAAGAGGACGTTTGGGGTGTAGAAGCCACCTGTCCAAGAACCAGATCACCTACATCAACATCAAAAACTTAAGATAGGATAGTAATATCAATAAGATAACCTTACAGGTCCAGCTCTAATGTTCCACTTACCTTAACTATCCTGCATTGGGACAGCCTATGAGTTATCTCACGGGAGGGGTAAAGGAGGGGGCACATTTGACAAGAGACCTATTTGTTTTTTGTCCTCCCAGGTAGACAGCACACAGTGCTCCAGGGGGAGGCAGCCTGTCATTGAGAAGGTTGCCCTTTTTCATCCTATCGGGATCCTAGTTGGGTGTGATAAGTTTACACCCTCTTCTCCTCTTTATCCTCTCTGTGTCGCTTGAAGTGGTCTATAGGTACGCCTTTCCCATTTGATCCCCTGTGACTATCCCTAATGTCAGCATGGAGCACCCCCTTCCCTAGATGGCATATACTTTATGGACTTGGGGCTTGGGTGCTGCTCTGTGAGATCACTAGGTGTGTGCAAAGGGTGTTCTCAACATCCTGGGTCCCACGGCGCACCTTATACCCTTTGCAGGCAATATCCAGGGTCCAGTGAGTATGTTTGGCCTATCTTCCTCTATGTTTGTGGCAATGCTTTGTTAGCCCTTTCTGCTGGTTACCCTTTTTTCATACCAAGGTTTCAGAGGAGTCTTTCAGCTTTAGTTACAGTCACTTTGCACCTTTTAAGAGGATTTTGAAAAGAAATATAAATTCCTAGCTAACCCAGAATGTCAGCATATTGGCACAGAAGATTCACACTTTTACTGTGTGAGCTTCAGTGGAACATTAGGGGAAATTTACTAAAACAGGTGCACTCAGAATCTGGTGCAGCTGTGCATGATAGCCAATCATCTTCTAACCTCAGCCTGTTCAATTAAGCTTTGGCAATAAAACAAGGAAGCTGATTGGTTTCTATGTAGAAGTATACCCAATTTTGCACTCTCCACCTTTAGTAAATAAACCCCACTGTGTTTAGTGCTTATTAGTTGCAACCTCTGAAACAGTGAGTGACTTACAACTTGTATGTTTGATGTTATTTTGCATACTATACATCAGGGGTTTTGAGTTAAAATTACGGAGGTCCAGTCAGCAAAATTTCCTTCCAGCAGAGGTCCGAATCCTATTAGCGATATAACACATCACAGTCCTTCGGTACATTATGATTTTTAGTGTACCTTTCACACTGTAGTCCCCTCTACATCACAGTCCCCTCTTTAAAGAAGTCCCACAGTGTCCTCTTTTCATTTCACATCACTGCCCCTCTTTACATCACAGCGCCCCTTAACAAAACACAGCATCTCCTAACACAACACAGCACCCCTAACACAACACAGCACCCCTTAACACAACACAGCGCCCCTAACACAACACAGTGCCCCTTAACATAACACAGCACTCCTAACACAACACAGCACCCCTAACAACAGCAAATATATAGCAAAGATGGGATGTATCTTTGCTAGATAGGGATGTCTCTTTGCTGGATGGGGAAGTCCCTTCTTGGACTGGGCTGTCTCTTTGCTGGATTGGGATGTCTCTGTGCTGGACCCAACTGGGCAAAGAGACACCCCAGTCCAGCAAAGAGACATCACCATCCAGAAAAGAGACATCCCGTCCAGCAAAGAGACAGCCTGTACAGCAAAGAGACAGCCCATCCAGCAAAGGGACAGCCTGCCCAGCAAAGGGACAGCCCTTCCAGCAAAGAGACAGCCCTTCCAGCAAAGAGACAGCCCCTCCAGCAAAGAGACAGCTCGTCCAGCAAAGAGCCAGCCCATCCAGCAGAGACAGCCCCATCCATCGCTGCTACAGAGCTGTCACAGTGTGTTGGTGGGTGAAGAAGAGAGGCCTCCATTGTCGCTTCAGTGCAGCTGTTGGCCGAGAAGGTGTCCCTGTGTCAGCGGTGCTTCCTGCTTGTCATCTGGAGCCATCACTGCCGCTCCTCCTGTTGGCCCTGCTTTAGGCAGAGCCGCACATCGGGTGGCTGCGGTCTGCATTAGCCCCATCCAGACCGCGGTCTGCATCAGCCCCATCCAGACCACGGTTGCCACTTACCTCCTGCCATGTGGCCCAGTCATGTTAAGCCCGGCGGCCCGGTGTACCCTATGGCCAGTCCGGGCCTGGGACCGAGGGAGGGCACCCGGGGGTGGCGTGGCTGCAGTCTGGATGGGACTGTCCCTCAGTCCATTTCCGGACCATGGTCCGTCATTTAGCATTAACAGTGAAGTCTGGTGTCCTTTACCTGATTTTCTGTTGTCCTTTGAGTCCCCCCTTAGTATCATTGTACATGGTGTCCACTGCTGCTCCATGGACTCTTCCAGATAGTCCTGATTTTCTGTCTCCAGGGCCAATTTTCTACTCTGCTTCACAGGTGTTGGCTTAGTGGGATGGCTCATGAAGGCCAGATCCTAGGTGGCAGAGACATGCTTTATTCCCACTATTCCCACTATTCCCAAAGCCTGGACTCTCATTCCTGCACAGTCTACCATCACACATAGAAGGCATGCTTCGCTTGTTGCAAGGTTAGGGACTTTCAACCCCAGATATTCTCTTTGTGAAGAATACTGACTTTTTTTGCAGATGGTGGCTATTAGCACTAGCAAGAGGCAGGTCTTTGCATTTGTGTCCCAGAAACTGCTGGCCTCCCACCCTTTAGGAATTTCTGTACAGGGTGTTTTTAATATAGCTTCCCCTGTGCCTTTCCCCCATTACTCTATGAATATGGATTTGGGTTTTTTGGCTCTTAAAAAAATGACCTTTTGAATTCAAAGGTCATTGATTTGAAATTATTCTCCTCCTGAACAAGTCACCTGTACCATATTATTGGTTGAATGAGAAATCTACGCTGTAAGTTTGTGAAGTCTACGACTTATTGTAACTGTTGCATACCTATAAATAAAACATTGTTTTTTAAAATGACTTTTGCGTTCAACCCGTTCTCACAGGTTGTGTCCCTGTTGCCATCAATGAAGGACTCAGTCTGTAATTGTGGATACTACCCATGTTATTTGTCAATCTCTCTGGCTGCACAGGCATTCCTATCAAACCTGAGCTTCCTGCAGAAGTCTTTAGGTATCCCAGGACTATTTATTCAGTTTGGAAAGCACTCTTACACATCTATTGGTTGAGGAACAAGCAGTGTGCTTGTTGGTACCTGAAACGGTTCATTTAGCTTTTTTGCCAAATCTTGGTGGACACTGCTTTGGGATGTCCCAACAATGAAGAGCTAAATATCTACACTGCTTTTCAACAAATGGAAATGCAAATCGGATTTTTCTAGATGGAGGTTTGGACAGCAGCATTCGCACCTAAGCATAGTTTTACCCCAGCAAGCACAGAGGTAAAAAGAAGCTCCTGTGGGGTCATGGAGCACCACTTGGCCATAAACTAAACTAATCTAATGTTAGCTTATATTTTTAGCTTCCCAAGATGTTTCCATAACCCTCAGATAGATAAAGGTAGCGCATGGCATCTGACTATAGGGGATGATAGAATCACTGCCCTCCTACTGTGGATCTACTGGAGGATTCCAATGTTAAAATAGTTTCTGATATCTCAGTAAGCGTTACACGATATTCCTCAAGAAGGACAGCAATGGACGCTAAGGCAGAGTGGGAGAGAGGGGAGGAGAGAGAAACAATGTTTCCCCTCACTTGGAGTAATATGTGGCCATGATGAACACAAGGAATTCTCTGATTGGAGGAGGTGGAGAGGAGGGCAGATGACACTACTCTAGCCATCTCCACTTGTCCAATCAGGGAACACATTGTATTCATTGAAAGAAAAAACACAAAATGTTCTCTGAATGGCAGTGCTTAGGATCAAGCTATTTCATTGTGAAGAGGGGGAAGCCGCTGGAGCAGCACTCAGAAGATCATAACTTTTACTGTCTATTAGACTATTAGAGTGTTTTTCAGCATCCCCAGCAGCCTAAAGATATATGGATGCTTACATCAAGCCAAGCTGGTCCAATGTAGGTTTGCAAAAAATATAATTTCTGGAATTTCACTTTTAAAGACACTGTCATTTATATGCAACAATAGCTGCTCACAAGTATGGACCTATTACTGCTCTCAGTCAGGCCAATCAAATAGGCAAAGCTCCCATTATTCCGAGTAGTTTTGGAGCTTATCTGGTCTGGAAGGGCAGGTAGGTTTCAGAGCTACAAGAAAGGGCTGGAGGTTTGCCTGGCAGAATACCCCAGGAATTTAAGGAAAACTGAAAGCTACTGTAGGTATCTGTAGGTACCTCTAGGTGCCTACACTTCAACAGATTTTTGTTTTCTTTATCTACAGAATCCATTTAAGTATTTTTTTTTAGTTTAGGTATAAGGTAGGTGGACTAATCAAAGTTTCTTAGGGGCAAAGCAGATATAGTACAGAAGATATAAGAATATACATTTCTTAGCATATTGTTCTTGTCTATATTCCAGATCCTGACAGCCAGTGGAGACGGTACATGTGCTCTCTGGGATGTGGAAAGTGGACAGCTGCTGCAGAGTTTTCATGGACATGGCGCTGATGTTTTGTGTCTGGATCTGGCACCTTCTGAAACAGGAAATACCTTTGTGTCTGGAGTAAGTGCTGGAAACCATTCCAATCCCTAACATTCTACAGAAACAAATTGCAAAATTCTGGTTAACCATTCCATTGTCTGAGAGCAGTGAAAGCAAAGGTATATCTTTAGCTGTGAGGGCCTTTCTGACTGCATTCGAGACCGGCAAAGGACGCAGAGAAAAATAAATGCCTTAAGGCTATTCTTCTTTGGCTTCCATAACATTTGTCCATATGACAATAATATAAAATGAGTGTACCCAAAGTTATTGTTTAAACAATCATGGACCAGTGCCTAGTATCCAGCCACAGGCTGAATCCTATGGCTTGTGGGTAGGTGCAGCATGGTGCAGCGGCAGTAATGACACAGAGTCTGGTTGCAGTAAAAATGTAAACTTGTATTGAAGAGAATGCCAAACTACAAACAACCCAGTGGGAGAACACTGCTCAAAGTGAAACTCACAGTTCAGTTCAATGCAGAGATGCAGCAGGGAAAAGATGCACCGACAGTGTCTGTATTCACAGGGTGGAATGTGGCTTCTTTGCAGAATTGTGAGGCCCTAGCCTGTCCCTGCTCATTTGGAACCTTTCCCTGCCGCTATCACTTTCTCTGACAGACGGTGCTCTTTCCCTACTAGCCACTTCGCCAAAACCTGGGAGCAGGGGCTTATAAAGCCTAATCCAAGATGGCTGCCAGAGGTCACCTGGATGCAGCGCACTCAACTGAAACACTGCCTCCAGGAAACCATAGAGAAACCATTTTTCTCCTGACTTCCTGATTTGCTCTGCAGACTGTGATACCGTCCTGGTCAGGCCCAACCTACAGTGAAGGAAGCAGGCTGCAACTTCCTACAGGCTTCTTGGGGTCTCCATGAGACATGATCAGCTAAGGGGTTGAAAGATCTCCAGGATAGCATTCCTGGTGCTGCCCCCACCCCATCAATGAGAGCATGCGCTATAGGGCTCATACTAACCAGGATTCGATCATAACTGTGATATAGATTTTGGGATATTTTAACACAAATCTGTTGCTTTACTACATCTTCCCAATAAAGATTTATTTGATAAAGTAGATTATAAATACTTAGCTCTCCTGCAACCAAACATCACTCCTGTCATTGGAAATCCTCTCTTGAAGTCAAATGAAAAATGGACACTTTGTGGAGTCTTCAGCCAGATATACATGGATTGAAATTTGGCCAGTTCAGCAGGGACCAATCAAATTTCAATCCATGTATGGGCGGGGAGGTTGTACAAAAGTCTATCTACTGATCAACGTCTGTACAACTGCCCTGTTGAATTTTCCCCACTCAATTAGCGCTGCTGGCTATAGCTGGCAGTGCTGATCAGTGTATTCTGGCAGCGGGAAGTTAGAATACAGTAGTTCATCAGAGAGGATTCCCCCATCCACATCAAGCGTGTGGATGGGAGAAATGAATCATTTTGTTTTTCATTCAGACCGCTGGTTGAATGAAAAAGAATACCTCATCTATGGGCTGTCTTACTCTCAGATGTTTGATTGCAGCTCCCACTGGTTTATTCTACTGACCTCACTACTGTGTCCTGTCCTCTGGACATCAGCAGGAAAAACCAGTGAGGTTTTTGGGGGCACAGGACATCAGCACTTCCAAAAGTGTTGGTTTCATAGCAGATTTCAGAGGACAATTTCTCATCTAACGATCAACTTCGAATGGTAATGTTGGGAAATTTTCATTCGATCAGCAACTGCAGCCAATGGCTACAACTCTGATCAGTGTATTCTGACAGTGAAGGAGTCCTGCTGTCAGAATACAATAGCAGAGCTGGGAGAATTTTCCCATCCACCTCGCTTGTGTGGATGGGGTAATCAGCTTTTCTTTAATTAGTCTGCTGGATGATCAAAACAAAACAATCTGAGATTGAATCGCTCATGTAGCCCTGGGCTTAGGTTGAGCAGTGGTTTTAAACTTTTTCTTATGGACGTTTCATCAAAGAGTGTAACACAATGTTCTGATTGTATGTCCAAGAAGCCAGTTAGTGATTCACACCATTGGCATCCACACATATCGATTCTAGGAAGAACTGCCTTTTGAGCAAAATACCTTTATTTTAATCTGTAGTATAAAAGGGCTAAAATCTGTATTATATAATGCTACTTTTAATTTTTTTGTTTCAATTATTGCATTTTAACATAGTTTAGTAACTATTTTGAATTACAAAGTAAACTGTCATCTATATTAACTTTTTTAAAGTGAAAGCCTTGCGTAAAGGGTAACTCCACTTTCATGAAAAAAAATATAGCAAATAAAAAAAAAATAGCATATATGTAATTGCTACACAAGCCATATTGTAATTTAATGGTATCAAAAATGTGAAAAATGATCTTTCCTTTTCAATCTGCATCATTGTAATTTTTTGTAACATGAAATGTAATATGGCAGCTTACAGGCCTTCTGTGCACAGTTGATGTGCAGAATGCCTCAGAAGTGTCATCTCCTTCTTGGCTTATTGAACTATCCCAAAAGTCTGAACTAAGATACAAGTCAGACCTAAGGCATCCTCTGCAACAAAAATTTTATTTTGACGATACTCCCAAAGGATTAATCAGTTCTACAGGGATGCAGACCCTGCAATTTTCCTCATTAGAACACTGCAACTGATTATTTAGGTTTCCTCTGCACACAATAAACAGCCATTGCTTCAGAGCAGAAACAGGTAGGACTCTGCAACAAAGTTTGTTAAAATCATTGTAATGCAAATTGATCAACCAGAGGGGATTCTTTTTTTCTCAACAAAAGTGGAGTTACTGTTTACATGCAGGTAGCACAAGGTGTCTGCTGTTAGATTTATTATCCTAAAAATGTTTTCCATGTTCCTCTCATCTTAAGAGTTCTGACTTCCCTGTATTCTGTACTGAGTTCTGTACAGCTACCAGCCTTTTCTCCAATAAGAATGCCCTTGATAGGCACTGTAATGCTCCCACTGGACATGCAGTTGGCAGTTGCCTGCTTGATGAAGGTAACATCAAACAGAATGTGGTACCTGATCTTTGACAGGACTTTATATTTAAAATAGCTGGCAGGCTTGCTTTAAAATGACCGATGAATTGTGAATGTTCTGAATGCATTATTATAACTGTGAAGACTTTCAGGAGATAGAGGAGATGGCCGCACACTGCAACAGGTTACTGCACAATGCTTCTTTATTCCAAAAATGACAGATAATACAGCACAGGAATCCAAGGATGTTAACGCATTTCACACAGCTTAGTGCTTAATCATAACCCACTAAGCTCTAAGTTGTGTGAAACGCGATAACATCCATGGATTCCTGTGCTGTATTATCTGTCACTTTTGGAATAAAGAAGCATTGTGCAGTATCCTCTTGTGGGGGGGCGGCCATCTCCTTTATTTTCCTGGGCACATATTGCACTAAATATTAGTACTGCTTGGTGCACCATCCAGCTGCAGCAGCTGTTAGCCTACAATAGAATTAGGGCTCTTTCACATGGGCTTTTACATTTGGCTACCCATATCACAAGTCCGCCTGTTGGGTAGGTGCAGTGTGGTGTGGCAGCAGTAAACACACAGAGGCATGGAGTGCAGCAATGGATGTACTGAAGAAATTGCAAACAGTACAATAGCCTAACGGTGAGCTCACCTGACCAGGGGCTTACAGTAGGTAAAGCGGAGAGTCAGTGGTAGTAGGCCCAAGCTGAAGACAGTGCTTGCCAAGGGAGGTGGAAAATGGCCTGGACATGGGGACAAGGGGCTTTTTGAGGGGGGGAGCCCCCTACGCCCCAAAGCACTCTCCCATTCATGTTGAGGACATGTGGCCTGGTATGGTTCAGGAAGGAGGGGGTGCTCGCTCCAACCTAAGCATGAGGAGGTAAAGACATTGGCCCTGAGCTTTCCCTACTCCTCTTGTATCCCTCCTTACCACTAGTGCTGTCCCTGAAAGTTAGGTACACTTTCCCTACACTAGCCACTTCTCAAATGTGCACCAAAACCTGGGTCTTAAAAAGACTCTGTGTGGCCCAAGATGGCCACCAGAGTCACCTGGATACAGCATAGCCAATGGAACGCTGCTTTGGAGGACCAATAGAGAAATCGAGTTTCTGTAATTTTCCCACCAGCTGCAGTACCACTTTGGATGAGCGCCACCTACAGTGGAGAAAACGAACTGCAACTACACGCCTGTGTCCAACAGACAAAAACTGAATGGGAACAGATGTAAAAAAAGTGACATCTGCCCACGGATCCCCTGCTGATTGGAGCTGACCCTGGCTCTGTGTGAATGAGTCCTTCGACAGATTGCTGGCAGCAGGGCCTGGACTGTGCTCCCGTACCATCATCCACTCACACATACACTCCGGAGTCTCGTGCACCGGGGGATAAAAGCCCAGTGTGCGGGGTACTTAAATTGGAACTGCTACTTTGTAACAGATCTAATGATGTTAAAAAGGGAGATTGGAAAGAAAAAACTTTTACATTTAATTTTATATTATATTGAGAAGAGGCTTATCACATGTTATACTTTTGTGAAAGGGAATGTATTTAGGTTATCTCTTTAGGATTGCTTTGGTTTATATGAATTTCTAAAAAAAAAAGGTTTGAAAAGACTATACATTCTGTTTAGGTTCAAGATCTATCTCAGCCTTCTTTAAAAGCCTACCCCTGCCTATTCTTGTAGCATGTTACTGAAGCAGCCTAGCAACTAGATGTCATAAAGCCAATTTACCTAACAACTCTCCTTAGAAACTGACAACAAGATAAGGAGCTACAAAGAGAGAACTGAAGGGAGAGATGAGCTGGAATCCTGGTGACAGGTCTGAGGTCACCTTCCATGTCTGGCTCTCTCCTATTCTTGGCCTGGTTTACACTAGTGCGATTTGAGATGCAATTTCAGTCACATAAAATTTCATTAATACAAATGACAAATGTGTGAATACACTATGCAGTAGTACAGTGTCCCAAAAATGAATCTATGTATAAATAATAATTAGAAATGAAATTTCCAACATATTGTAAAATTCAAATAGCAAATATGTGAACATTTGATCACTATCATACAATATTACAGTGTCCCAAAAATAATCTGTGTGCCAATGAGGACCAGAAATAAAAATGTCCACTGTATTGTGTGAACCAGTAGTGATCAGTAATATAAAGTGACTTCTGATCTCACCAGAAGTAAGAAGCAAACCAGCATTGAATGGAAATGACTCCTAAGAATATATCCGTCCACCAGGGGTGTCCCTAGGCAGGTGTGGGGGTGCGCACCGCACCGGATGACACCTATCACACGGGGTGATACTGGACCCACTCCACGAAAAGGTAAGTTTTAAAGCAAGACAACAATCCCCGCAGGGTGGATCGGATCTGCGGATTGAGCATAATGGATCGGAGTCCAATCCATTATGCTCCCCAATCCGCAGATCCGATCCATCTTTTGGGGATCGTCGGCTTGCTTTAAAACGTACCTTTTTGTGGAGCTTGTGGAGAGATCAGTTAGCCCTGTATAGGTTGCAAGCTGACGATCCCCGCAGGATGGAGAGGATCTGCGGATTGGAGAGGATAATGGATTGGACTCCAATCCATTATGCTCTATCCACAGATCCGATCCATCCTGCGGGGATCGTCGGATAGGGTGTCACCAAGTGTTATACCGAGTGACACCACCCTAGGGATGCCCCTGCCGTCCACTTCATATCACCAGTCACTGATCACCGGACACCTCACCAGCGGACAGAAGCCGTTTATCGCTGCGGAGGCTCGGATTGCGGCGTCCCTTGTTGAGGTGTCAGGTCGGTGGTCACCTCTGGAGGCACTCCACCTTTGATGGATCAGTGACTGGTGATATGAAGTGGACAGATATATTCTTAGGAGTCATTTCCATTCAATTCTGGTTTGCTTCTTGCTTCTGGTGAGTGCACAGTGGTGGAGGATTATCGCAGAAGTCACTTTATATTACTGATCACTACTGGATCACACAATATGTTGGACATTTTTTATTTCTGGTCATCATTGGCACACAGATTATTTTTGGGACACTGTAATATTGAGCAAACTGTTGGCACTATATAAATCTTGTATAATAATAATAATGTTGTATGATAGTGAATAATATTCACATATTTGTTAATTGAATTTTACAACATGTTGGACATTTCATTTCTGGTCATTTTATATACATACAGTGGGGATCGAAAGTTTGGGCACCCCAACTAAAAATTTGGATTAATGTGCATAAAGAAGCCAAGGAAAGATGGAAAAATCTCCAAAAGGCATCAAATTACAGATTAGACATTCTTATAATCTGTCAACAAAAGTTAGATTTGATTTCCATCATTTACACTTTCAAAATAACAGAAAACAAAAAAATGGCATCTGCAAAAGTTTGGGCACCCTGCAGAGTTAATATCTTGTACTGCGCCCTTTGGCAAGTATCACAGCTTGTAAACGCTTTTTGTAGCCAGCCAAGAGTCTTTCAATTCTTGTTTGAGGTATCTTTGCCCATTCTTCCTTACAAAAGTCTTCCAGTTCTTTGAGATTCCTGGGCTGTCTGTCACGCACTGCTCTTTTAAGGTCTATCCATAGATTTTCAAATATGTTGAGGTCAGTAGATTGTGAAGGCTATGGCAAAACCTTCAGTTTACACCTCTTGATGTAATCCCCCGTGGATTTCGAGGTGTGTTTAGGATCATTATCCATTTGTAGAAGCCATCCTCTCTTTAACTTCAGCTTTTTCACAGATGGCATCAAGTTACCATCCAAAATTTGCTGAAATTTTATTGAATCCATTTTTCCTTCTACTCGTGAGATGTTCCCTGTGCCACTGGCTGCAACACAACCCCAAAGCATGATTGATCCAACCCCATGCTTAACAGTTGGACAGAGGTTCTTTTCATTAAATTCTGTGTCCCTTCTTCTCCAAACGTACCTTTGCTCATTCCGGCAAAAAAGTTCAATTTTAACCTCATCGGTCCACAGAACTTGTTTCCAAAATGCATCAGGCTTGTCTATATGTTCATTTGCAAAGTTCAAATGATGATTTTTGTGGTGAGGACATAGAAGAGGTTTTCTTCTGATGACTCTTCCATGAAGCCCATATTTGTACAAGTATCTCTTTATAGTGGAATAGTGTACCACAACTCCAGTGTCTGCCAGATCTTTCTGGAGGGATCGTGCAGTCAAACGTGGGTTTTGAATTGTTTTTCTCACAATCCTGCGAGCTGTTCTGTCTGATATTTTTCTTGGTCTTCCAGATCTTGCTTTAACTTCCATTGTTCCTGATGACTGCCATTTCTTAATTACATTCCGAACAGAGGATATTGACATCTGAAAACGCTTTGCTATCTTCTTATAGCCTTCTCCAACTTTGTGTGCGTCAACTATTTTCAGTTTCAGTTTTCTAGCTAACTGCTTAGAAGAACCCATGGTGCTGATTGTTGGGGCAAGGTCAGATGAGTCTGGGCATTTAAAACCTTTGAGATTGATATCCCCTGGTCTTCTCAGATGATGATTGAGAACAATCCATGACACTGGCAGGTCTCAGCTTGGCAAAGGGGGCAGTGCATGCTATAAATTCTGCAGGATGCCCAAACTTTTGCAGACGCCATTTTTTTGTTTTCTGTTATTTTGAAAGTGTAAATGATGGAAATAAAATCTAATTTTTGTTGCCATATTATAAGAATGTCTAATCTGTAATTTGATGCCTTTTGGAGATTTTTCCATCTTTCCTTGACTTCTTTATGCACATTAATACAAATTTTTAGCTGGGGTGCCCAAACTTTTGATCCCCACTGTAGATTAATATTTGGGACGCTGTAATACTGCATGATAGTGTATAACGTTCACACATTTGTCATTTGTATTAGCGCTGCACCTTTATTTATGTGTTTGTACAGTGGAAGCAGAGGGTTTGCCACGTTGTGCTAGCAGCTCTTATACTCCTTTGTGTTCATTGTTCATATATTTTACACATAGAATTGCATGACAATGGAAATCACATTGTTTTCAGTGGTGCTCCTTCCCATCGATGTGATTCAGTGAGATCTTGGAAAAGCTTCCTGTACTACTATGGTGTGATCAAGGCTTCATGCATACTGAGCAATAACACTGCTTTTAGGGGTGTCGTGCGTTTTTTTCTACCTCTACATGCCCACTTTTGTTAGCCTATGGCGATCATTTACTAAAACTGGAACATGCAAAATCTGATACAACTGTGCATGGTAGCCAATCAGCTTTTAACTTCAGCTTGTTCAATTAAGCTTTCACAAGACGAAACTGGAAGCTGATTGGTTTCTGTGCAGAACTTCATCAGATTTTGCATTCCCAAGTTTAAGTAAATCAACCCCTATGAGTACATGGATACGTGGGGGGGATTTACTAAAACTGGAGAGTGCCAAATTTGGTGCAGCGCAGCTCTGCACAGAAAACCAATCAGCTTCCAGTTTTGTCTTGCGAAAGCTTAATTGAACAAGCTGAAGTTAGAAGCTGACTGGCTACCATGTACCAGATTTTGCACTCTCCACTTTTATTAAATGAACCCCATAGGCTAACATGGACAGGTATTTAGAGACAGGGGCGTTTAGAGGCAGAAAAAAAAATCCCACTGCCAGCGCATCCAGGAGCAGCAGTGTTTTGTTAGAAAAAAACGCTTACCGAATGTAAACGTTAACACTAGGCATGAGCATTTATCTATTTCATTAGCCAGATTATACTAATATTCTTGCCTATGAAATGATTTAAAGTGTTACTAAACCCACAACAGTAAAATCAGTCTGTATATGCAGAAAAGCGCACTTGTTATACTCACTGTGAAACCTAAGGAGTTAATCCTCTGCATTGTGTAAAAAGGCTGTTTGATCCTGACTTCTCTGATCCGCCCATTCTTTTGCTGTCCCCAATGCATCTGCCATACTTAGAGCAGCAGTGGCAAGTCTGCACATGCTCTGTTTGGTGTGTATTGCTAGAGAGTTTTTCTTTTTTGGGAGGGTGCATGTGATCGGCACAGGGCCAATCAGCACTGTCCAGAAAGAGGGTCAGGGGTTATGCAGTTTCATAGGACAGTCAGAGGAGAATGAAAACTCCTCCTACAAGATTAACCAGTGCTCAGCTGGACACTGATAGAAGTCACAAGACTGTTCTAACTGCTGATGAAAAAAAAAAGGTATTTAGCAGTTTCTATTTACTAAAATAATTGCATTTTCATGTTCTGTGTACTGTGTGAGACCGGATATAGTGAATGCAGGGTCCGGGGTTTAGTAACACTTTAATGTCCAAGTGCCTGCAGCACCTAGCGTTAATGTGTGTTTTTACATGCCAAGCATTTTTTTCTGCCAACATGCTGCTGCCAGGAAGAAAGGCATTTAGGACATTTGGGCACATGTCCTGTGTGCATGGGGCCTTGCAGTGTGATTTGGCCCCCATATGATATTCATTCCACATACAAAGTCGCACGACAACGTTGCACTGAAATCAGATCAAATTTGCATCGCAGTAGTGTGCACCAAGCTTTAGGGGCAGATCGTAAATCTTACAATTCTAGATTGACTTCACAAATCCACTCAATATAATAAAAAAACATCTTTTTCTACCTTCCTACCCAGCTTTGAAGAATGATGTTCACCACAATATGACAGCTCCTTTTTTTAAGACATTATATCTGATTACTGTGTTAGAGAAATGTTAGTATGCTTTGTTCTTATTCAATTTCTTTACTTATTTAGGGATGTGACAAGAAAGCTATGGTATGGGACATGAGGACTGGTCAGTGCATTCAGTCATTTGAAACCCATGAATCTGATATCAACAGCGTCAGGTCAGTAATACAGCCTGTGACAGCACAGCATACCACATACAGTATATGGCCATACACCGGCCACAAGGAAACAACATCCTACACATAATAACAGGAGAATACACCACAATTAAGGACCTGAAGGCAAAACTTGTATTTTCATTTCGGATAGAGTAAAGGGGGGTTATAACCCCTGTCATTTTTTTGCCATCTGTGTGCTGATTTCCCTTCACTTCCTGTCCCATAGCCAAAGCAGGAAGTGAGAGGAAATCCCAGATTGTCAGCAGAACTAGTCCCTATTAGACGGCTCCCCCACTATTCCTGTTATGGTGACAACCCAAAATTTGAGACAATGGTAAACAGAAGAGAAGTAGAGAGGGTGAATCTCCCTAACGGGGACATGGACAGCAATAAAAACCTGACAAAAATAAAAAAACAAAAAAAAAAATATTTGCCTTTAATTATACTTTAAATTTGTCTGTCTGTCTATCTCTGTAGCCAGGATTTAACAATTTAATATGATCTCTTTTACAAATGGAACTCCAGACAATATTTCTTTAGTTTTTGAGGAGTGGTGAGGGATTAGAATTTTTGTCAGGTATTTATTTCTATCTGTGCCCCCCCAGGGAAGAGATTTCCCCTTACTACTTCCTGTCATGTAATAACACAGGAAGTGAGGGGACACCTCTCCAATGGATACAAAAGTAGAAATGAAACCTGAAAATACTTTACCACATGTTGTCCATGATCTCTTTTGCACACTGAAATCAATGAGACGCTAAAAAGACATTTGTGGACAACTGGTGAAGCCCAAACCCAGGCATAGGTTTTTGGAGAAGGATTAGAATATCTGTAAGGTTTTTACTGCTGTTTGTTTTCCCGTTGAGGAGTTTTAACTCGACTTTCTGTTTTGATGACACGTTTATTTAACCACTTCCCTACCGCCGTACGTACATATACGTCCTTGTAGGGAAGCGTTTATACCAGGATCAAGGTTGAGGCTACAACCATCGTTGTTTAGCCCCAGCGATTGTCTTTCATGTAAAAGTAATCCGAGTGGCTAAGCAGCTGCTGGATTAGTTTTATGGGTTGTGGAAGATGGTTCTTTCCCCCTCCCGCCGCCGCCTTTACCAGGCTTCCCGGAGTGTTCAGGGAGCCTAGTAAGGATGTGATTGGTGGCATCCAGCTCCCGGAACACAGTAAGAGGAACTAAAGTTTTTCCTCCCTGTGTGGTCAGAAACCGGAAGCAACTATGTATTTGTCACTTCTAGTTCTGGTTCCTTGTTTGATTTGTTGCATTGGAGCCCAAAGGAGAGAGATGGGGTGTCTAATAAACCCCGTTCTCTGGGATGTTTCATATTGCGAAAAATTTTGTAAACCGAAACGCAGTTTCCCATAGAAATGCATTGAAAACCAATTAATCTGTTCTGGAAGTCAGAAAAAAGTAAAAAAAAGTCTTATCTGTTCAAAACTGTTTATAAAGTGTACTTTAAAGGCATAAATACTGTACAAGGACATGATTAAAAGAAAATTTGTAAATGCATTGAAAACCAATTAATCCGTTCCGGAGGTCAGAAAAAAGTAAAAAAAAAAGTCTTATCTGTTCAAAACTCTTTATATAGTGCACTTTAAAGGCACGGGGCCGGCGCTATAAACCTCCCAGGTGCAATGCATCCTGGAGAAACTTACTTCGTATTGCTAAAAAAATTAGTAAACTGAGGCATTATTTTCAATGGATTTTCATTCATAAACTGAAAATTATGTTAACCGAGGCGATCATAACCGAGGTACGCATGTATTTTTTTAAAAACTTATAAGTGCCCCTGTGCCTCCGTCCTCACACACAAAGGTGAACGCACGCGTCGGTCCTGCACGCATATGTAAACAGTGATCATACCACACATATGAGGCATCACTGCGAAAGTCTGAGTGAAAGTAATAATTCTAGCACCAGACCTCCTGTGTAACTCTAAACTGGTAACCTGTAAAGGCTTTTAAAGCATCGCCTATGGAAATGTTTGACTCTATGGCCCAAAGACCACAAGCAATACTGCATCCCACTTATGGGACCATCTATGGCCAGTTTTATTGGTAGTCCTATTTCTTAGCTAGCCCTCACATCTCCCTTTCTCTCTCCAGGTATTACCCCAGTGGAGATGCCTTTGCCTCAGGCTCTGACGACGCCACGGTAATTTGCTCTCTCTCCTATGAAGTTGTGGGTGGATGGACAGTGTACGGTGTGCAGTGCCAACACATGCTTTTCTTTTCTCACATTACTCATATATTTGCTGATTTCTCCAGCAATTGCCGCCAGTTCTTAACCTCAGACAAATATTTATGGAAGATTATATATGCAGAGCCTATGAAGTGTGTTCATGTTTGTATATGAGACATTACCATTTCCTGCTCATACCTGACACAACACAAATGCTGCGCACAGCTGCACTGCACTTTGTACATTCTCACCAAAATGATTTGCCAACCAAATTCAAACAATGTGGTCTCAAAATGCAACAGAACTACAACAAGACTGCCGGATTCACACTTATTTCTGTAGCAAGTGTTCCTGTAGTCAGTGGGGCCATGGGTAATGTCAGCACCCCCAACCATCAAAAACTGGCATGCTGTGAGGCCTTGTTTACACATGCATACTGTACTGAAACATACGTCCCTGTGAGGGCTGTGTTTGCCCTCAAGGGGATGCACAGTTGTTCCATGCATCCCCGTGCTGATAGTCCAATTGATGTCAATTTGAATACAGCAGCTGCACAGACAATTCTGACATCTGTGCGGGTGCACAGCCCCTCTGCATTCGGGGGTGCACACCTTCATCCGCACAATTGACATGAATGGGAATGCATGGAACAACTGTGCATCTCTGTGTGGGCAAACATGGCCCTTGCACAGACGTGTTTAAGTGTACCTGTGTAAATGAGGCTTTAGGCTCTTTGATGGTACTGATATATTTAGTGCCCATTCACACTAGAATGCAATGCAGGAAACATGCATTCATGTTTGTTTCCCACAACGCTTTCAAAATGCACTGCAGTTACAATCTGCAACAAGTGTCATTTTTAAGTTAACAACATCCCAAGCGCGAGTTCCAATTGCAGTGCATTTGCCCGCACCGGATTGCATGGTACTGAAGTACCATATGTTCTGGTTGCAGTGCATTTTTTTTAAAGTAGTGCATGTAGTACTTTTGGTACAGTGAAGTGCGATTTCAGCCCATTTACTCACTTACCCATATATGCACGTAAAAATTGAAGGTGGGTGTAATGGAAACGACTCAGACTGTGCTTGAGTACTTCTGTTAGAATACCGCTTCCCCAGCCGAACACTGACTACAGACACCACAGTCAACCATACAAGACTAGACGACACCAGTCTTGAAGTAAACCAGGAGGTAGACTACTTTATTTGAACACAGATAAAAGATATATACACTCAGGGGACAGTCCCCCCTCCCTGCATAATGACACAGGGCGGGGCAATCTACATTTACTAACAAGAGACACACAGGTATTCCAACTTCACACCAACAGACAGTCCCATCAGGAGGGAGCGCTGTTGGAGACCCCCCCCCCCACTAAGCTAATACACATAAACACATACATCTCATAATAGTGTGCTCCCAAGCCAGACAGACAATAGAACAATGGGATGCAGCCACATGACATTAAACAATCAACAACCCCCACACAATATTAGGACAGATCACCCTGTACCTCTAACAGGCACAGGGTGATTTACACATAAGAGGGATATGGGGAGCTGAGACAGGGGTCTCTCCACCTCTCCAAAGTGAACTGGGTTCCATGGGCCCCCCACCCAAAGTGACTCCCGTCACAGTGGGGAAGTAATTTACGAAGTGCATGCATACAATATTGTCTAGTAAGGCTAAATGCACACAGACGTAAGAATTTTACTGATCATATATACAGGTGAAACTCTAAAAATTAGAATATCGTGCAAAAGTTCATTTATTTCAGTAATACAACTTAAAAGGTGAAACTAATATATGAGATAGACTCATTACATGCAAAGCAAGATAGTTCAAGCCGTGATTTGTCATAATTGTGATGATTATGGCTTACAGCTCATGAAAACCTCAAATCCACAATCTCAGAAAATTTGAATATTGTGAAAAGGTGCAATATTCTAGGCTCAAAGTGTCCCACTCTAATCAGCTAATTAAGCCATAACACCTGCAAAGGGTTCCTGAGTCTTTAAATGGTCTCTCAGTCTGGTTCACTAGGAATCATAATCATGGGAAAGACTGCTGACCTGACAGTTGTGCAGAAAACCATCATTGACACCCTCCATAAGGAGGGAAAGCCTCAAAAGGTAATTGCAAAATAAGTTGGATGTTCCCAAAGTGCTGTATCAAAGCACATTAATAGAAAGTTATGTGGAAGGGAAAAGTGTGTGGAAGAAAAAGGTGCACAAGCAGCAGGGATGACCGCAGCCTGGAGAGGATTGTCAGGAAAAGGCCATTCAAAAGTGTTGGGGACTTTCACAAGGAGTGGACTGAGGCTGGAGTCAGTGCATCAAGAGCCACCACACACAGACGGATACTGGACATGGGCTTCAAATGTCGTATTCCTCTTGTCAAGCCGCTCCTGAACAACAAACAACGTCAGAAGCGTCTTACCTGGGCTAAAGAAAAACAGACCTAGTCTGTTGCTCAATGGTCCAAAGTCCTCTTTTCTGATGAGAGCAACTTTTGCATCTCATTTGGAAACCAAGGACCCAGAGTATGGAGGAAGAATGGAGAAGCACACACTGCAAGATGCTTGAAGTCCAGTGTGAAGTTTCCACAGTCTGTGTTGATTTGGGGAGCCATGTCATCTGCTGGTGTTGGTCCACTGTGCTTCATTAAGTCCAGGGTCAACGCAGCCGTCTACCAGGAGATTTTGGAGCACTTCATGCTTCCTTCCACAGATGAGCTTTATGGGGATGCTGACTTAATTTTCCAGCAGGACTTGGCACCTGCCCACACTGCCAAAAGCACCAAAACCTGGTTCAATGACCGCGGGATTACTGTGCTTGATTGGCCAGCAAACTCGCCTGACCTGCCAAGAGAAAGATGAGAGACAAGAGACCAAACAATGCAGAAGAGCTGAAGGCAGCTATTGAAGCATCCTGGTCCTTCCATAACACCTCAGCAGTGCCACAGGCTGATAACTTCCATGCCACGCCACATTGAGGCAGTAATTGCTGCAAAAGGGGCCCAAACCAAATACTGAGTACATATGCATGCTTATACTTTTCAGAGGTCCAATATTGTTCTATGTACAATCCTTGTTTTATTGATTGCATGTAATATTCTAATTTTCTGAGATTGTGGATTTGGGGTTTTCATGAGCTGTAAGCCATAATCATCACAATTATGACAAATCACAGCTTGAACTATCTTGCTTTGCATGTAATGAGTCTATCTCATATATTAGTTTCACCTTTTAAGTTGCATTACTGAATTAAATGAACTTTTGCACGATATTCTAATTTTTCGAGTTTCACCTGTACATAGTTTTTCTGGTACAAGTTTTCTGCGTAAAATGATCAATAAAATGCTTGCATTTAGATGCGTTTAAACATGCATCTTTACGTGTTTCTTTTCAATCCTAGAATGCACCTTTTGCTTCAATATATATAATGCAGGAATTTTTACACAGCTGTGTGCATGTCCCCATTTAAAACAATACACTTTCATTTAGATCTGTAATCAAAAAATGTTTTGATTTTCATGTTTTATGGTCATGTGCATGTACACTAAAGCAGATTTTTTATATTTCTTTTCTGATCTGAATTCTAACACTAAGCACAAGTTTACTGACTTACGCAGCTATGCGCACAGGCATGTAGAAAATAATGGGCTGCATTCAAAGCAGTAATAAAAACCTCCAGGGCATTTCATGTGGCCCTTGCACCTCTCCTGCAGGTAGCCCCTTGTCCCCGCCCCCACGTTGTCTCAGCAGAGAAAACAGAATAGAATTCCTCTGCCAAATCCTGCACCTCTCAGTGCAGCTGCAGCACCCCCTCATCTTTGCCTCCTCTGGTCTCATCATTCAGCAGACTCTGATAACTGACTCCACTCCTCCTCTGATCCTCCTCCAGACCCTGCACTTTCTGATTTCCAGCTCTGCCCCCAAAGGGGGTGCACGGCGAAGTTAGGCAGGGTGTGGGATTCTTGACATCTGATATAATGGAGGATGGGGTGCTTTGGACATCTAGTCTTACAGATACAACCTTCCCTTTGAGGGCAACCATAATGCTGATATGGCCCACGATGAAATGGAGTTTGACACCCCTGCCTTAGGCCTTGTACCCACAGGAATACTAGAGGTACACCTATGTGAGGGCTGTGTTTACTTGCACTATTCCGTGCATCCCTGTGCAGGATTCAGCGCCTACATGCTCCCAATTTGACAGCCATGCTAGTGCACGGTCCTGAATGTAGACTGTGTGTGTTAGGGGTCATGCACATGCACTTGCACAGCTGTCAAATTGGGAGTAGGGACCCTGTCTGTGCACAATTGACATGAATGGGATTGCATGCATGGGGATGCATGGAACACCTGTGCATCCCCTTGTAGGTAAAAATGGCCGTCGCATGGTTGTATTCTGTAGTACACCCAAGTGAACAAGGCCTTAGATTCTGCATTTATGGCATCCATGTGCAAGAACCCTTATGCAAATTTTAGCTTGACCTAGGATTATTTCTGCATTCTTAGGAACTATGCCTTTTTTGATTGCTTTCAGTAGAGTATAGATATTTAAGTTTCAGTATCTATTGTGATTTGGATATTTCAGTATGAATCAACAAAAGTTGCTTGAATTTTCTACCCAGCTTACATCTGGGTTTGTATCTAGTGAATGTGCCAGCTCATACCTCACGCTCACACCTGGCAGTTATAAATGTTACTGAATTATGGATTTTTCTAAATTGTGACTTGTGGTTGAGATTAGCAAATGTTTACTAAAATCTTAAGTTCACGTTAATGTTCTAAGGCAGGGGTCTAAAAACCTTGTATACAAAGGGCCAGTTTACTGTCTTTCAGGATTTAGGGGGGCTGGTGGGAGTAGAAAATGCCTTGTCATCATTGGGAGTAAGCAATACCCCATTATTGGTTTTAATAGGAAGAATAGTTCCCAACTGATGGTACCAGTTGGAGGAATAGTTCC